ATGTTAACCAGTGTAGTTTTTTCCCCCTCTAGAGACCAAAGCATTTTAATGATTTGAAATAGAATAGTAAGGAAAGCACCTCCCTCTCACCCCCCCTTTTTTTTTTCTTAACTTTTGCATCATCCAGTCAGAATATAGTAACTTAGGTATTTTCCCTGCAACCGTTGGAAAGCCTAAGCTGACCTCTCATTGACTTCTGAACTGGACCCGGACATTCTTTGTTTTCTGAAACAAAATGCAGTAAACAAATCTTTTAGTCCTTATAGCCTGTAATGCTTTGGAGCACTTGATTAAAGTTCTCCCTAATCCTTTCAGTTAACCCCCTTTGATATTACCTAACCAGGTTTCCTCCTTTAATAGATCTCTCTATCGTTTATTTCACTTTTCTCACAGCCATTTATTAGCTTTGACTTCTTGGTACCTTTCTCATATCATCTCCAGGCTCTTATCTCCAGCATTCCTCTATTATCTGTACTAGCTTTCAAATCTATTTTCTTTAAACTGTCTTTCCCTCCCTCCTCTTATTTCTGTTTTTTTTGAAATGCGAATGCTAATGAGGGGGAGAGATGTGGAGAATGAATGTTTTTGAAATACAAACACCAAGCCTCCACACCACAGGACAACCTAAAAACCAATCACAACATTTCAAGGGACATCTTAAAGTTTGGTGGCAAATGATAAATCCTTATCATTTTGTGAACACAGCTGCCAAACTCGATTGATTAACAGGCTTTTGTTTATTCTAGGCTGGCAAATACACACACATTTTACCTTAAGAGGTGCCTCTTTTAATTTCTGAGGGTTTTGGAGCTGACTCATCAGTGTGACGTTTTGGGACAAAAGCCTAATTTAGGATATAGGTCTTTCCAGAGGCACAATTCCTTATAGAACATAAAGTCCGGGGAGTTCTCCGAGACGACTTTAGCAGCAGCTCAGAGGAGCACTGAGGGCTTGAAATGCCTCCATATAGGAGGGTGTAAACAATGGAGACCAAGGGCCCAATCTGCTTCCTTTTGTCACCGTTCTCTATCTCTGGAAAGATGCTCCGAGATAAGAAGGATGAGAAAAGAATGGAAGGCCTGAATCTCAAGAGCTAGGGCCAAGTGTCAGAATTTTTCACCAGGCCAAGGTTTCGCAAAATAAAAGTGCTATTGCCTTAAAAAAGCAACTATCTGAAATAAGTTAGGAATAGGTGCTGTCACAAAATGGGCACAAATATCGAGAGTAGTTTACTAAGATACCTAGACCTGTCCCTCCATTTTTTTCCTTTTAATAGATGATTAATTGCTGCCCTGCTAAAGGAGTTTTTTTTTTTCTTTTTTATGGCTACTATATTGCAACTCTAGACATCCTCTGTGCGATTTCTCTCAGCAAGTCCCAACTGTAATAACTGTTTGCTAATTGTAAAATCCTTATCCAGAATGAGGTTTGGGCAAACAATTTGTACTACTGTAATTACATTGTAAAAGTGTTTAGTCCCTTGATTGTTCAGAATTAATTGTATAAAGGCCTAGAAGTTACATTAGGTTCACAGTTAAAAATGGAAAGACTGTGTGTGTGTGTGTGTTGGTGGGGGGTGGGCACTTTTCAAAACTACTGAGTTGATTTTAAGTCCACAAACTCAAACTATCTCATTCTTTAAGGAAAATTTGTGTGTAGGTTATTTAAAGTACATTTTTATGGTTATCTGGCACATCATGGTTAAAGCATGCAGTAGTCTAGTCTTCCTCCTACTTTGAAGATTTTGGTTATGTTTGCGTAAGGTGACTTACCTGAACCTTCTTTTTTCATCAGTGCTAGAAAACAAAAGAAAAAGATTACTGGAAAGCAACAATACAAAATAAATCCTGTTGTCAAATATACACGTATATACTGACCTTTTCCAAATTTGAAAACGTGGCCGCAGAGTTGTGGTAACTCCAAGCCCCGTTACCTCTTTGCCGAAGAACCCCTGAGGCTGTTAAAGACTACAGTCCTCTAAGTGTATTTCGAAGTAAATTTCTCTCAGTTAAATTATACTTACACAATTTCCCTCGCAGTTCATTTAAGGATCGTAAACGTAGGTGTGTCCTGTCGGTGTTTGGTTTGACCCCCACCTCCTACCCACGCTTCTCCCTCCTACTCCCGAGTCGCGCAGATGCCTGGCGGACCTACCCCAGGATCACACCCCCGCGAGCAGCCGTCGGAAGGCGCTCAGGTATCTGCCGAAGTCGGTTGGGATTCCGGGAAGGGGTCGCAGCCAGCCAGCCCAGCTTAGTCCTCTCCCTAAGCGGAAAAGGAGCGTGCTGCCTGGCCTAGCCAGCGCAGCCTCCCAAGGATTGAACAGAAATCGCCTTCCTGAGACGGGGAGGTTCCACCTTGGCCTGAAATTCTGCTTCCAAGTTCATGTTGTGGGACCGGGGGGGGGGTGGGGTGCGCCGGTGGGGGGGTCGGGGGAGGCCGGGAAGTGCGGGCAGAGGCATAAAGGCGCTGGTAGTGTACCTGGCTGCCCACCCCCCTCCGTCCCGAGCTTTTATTCGCGGGCCTGTCTTAACCTCCCAAGTGATGTTTTAGGGCGTTTGTGCCAGAAAACCTACACATGTATGTGATGGAAAAAAATAAAAGATCCTGAAACTTAAGCGTCAGAAAAAAGGAGGAGAAACAGAGAGAAAGAAAAAAGAGGAAGCAAATGATAAGGGATCCTGGAGATGGTTTAAACACACACACACACACACACACACCCCTCTTTCAAGGCAAAGCGCTTCTGAAGGTTTTGGGAGAACGTGTGTCAGCCTTTCAGGCACACAGGGTGCCAGTACGGAGTTGGGGGCGGAGAAGGGTGCAGTGCAGGAGGCTGGGAAGGCTCATCTGCTTGGCTTTATGGAAACGCTCCACTGTTGGGGGCAACCAACCCTGCGTTGACTCCTGCAAAGACTAAAGGAAGCGATAGATGTCGCCTAGGGAGACTACGGACGCTCGGTGGAACTTCATTCCAGACCTGTGTTCTGATGCTCGCCCTGTGTCCCCTGCTCCTTGGAAGCCCACTCTATAGAAACTTCAGTCCTACCTCGCAGACAGGCGCAAATTCTCTTTTACTTTGCGCTTAAGAGTTGGCTTCAATACATTTTGGAGGTCCTAACCTTTCCTAAACCATCTCCGGATGAAGGGATACCCCCAATCTTTCTCAAAACTCTTCCCCCTACCTACAACCCCGCGGGGGTGAGGGTTCAGTCCGCAGCTGGCGAGTGGGACGTGAGTGGGTGGGGGCGATGCGGGCGCGGGCGGGCTGCTTGGAGGGAGTCAGCCTTTTGGCCACCTTCAGGGCGGGAATAGGGACTGGCAGTTTGCATTCCCCGCAGATCGAAGCTCCCTGCTGATCGATTATTTGATAATTGATTTTCCCCGCAGCCAATGCGCGGCTGCCTGGGCGGGGGCGCCTCCTGATTGGCCGAGCACTCCTCCACGGCTGCCTACCGAGATTTGGGTGAGCTCATTTTCCAGTCGACCGCAGGGGGAGTTTTCTGCGAGGTTTCAGCTGGAGGGAGGGGGAAGAATCCTCTCCGAGCCGAGCGAGCTGCGAGCCCTGCTTGTGGATGTGAGGTTTCCAGCCGCTGGTCGAGCTGCTGCGGCTGAGCCATTTCGGCAGATCAGAGCCCAGCGGACAGAAATATAAATACGAAAATAACGCCACTAAATATAATCACAAGGGAGAAGCTTAGAGCGGGAGAATAAAGGGGGGGGGGGGGAATTAAAGCTCAGGCCATAGGTGTTAAAGTTAAAAACAAAACAAAAAAACAGTGGCTGGTTGGAGCCTCCGAGTTGTAGGTACGGGCAGCTTTTGTCTGAAATCTCAGCTTCCGAAGCGGATTTATTTTTCTCTGGCACTGGGAGGTTTCGCCAAGCCGGGTTGGGGACGGGAAAGGAGCGCGGGGAAGGATGTCTGGGGTGGTGAGGGCAGGGCGTCGCTGGAGAAAGATAGGGGGACGCGAGGTTCTAACAGGCCCGGGAGAGGTCGAGGCTGGAGCCCCCTCAGCGCCTCTAAGACAAAGGCAGCGGTGGCTGCAGCCCGAGCCTAGCACTCCGGCAGCGTCGCGCCGCGCCGCGCCGCGCCCTGGGCGCACGGCCGCCTCACCCCGAGCGGGTCCGAGAAAGAGCCTCCCTCCCAGCAGCTCCCCGGCCCCTGCTCCACCCGCGAGGTCTGGGCTGCTGCGAGCACGAGCTGGGTTTCGCTTTCCGACGATCATAAATAGCTTGGTGTTTGTAAACAGGCGCTGGGGGCACATTCCCCGCGCTCAGCTCATTGTTCCCTCCCTTCCTCTCTACTTCGCGCTGGACGCCTAGGCTGAGGCTGGGAGCCGCCGGGGCTAGAAGGTGGAGGAGTCCAGACCCAAAGTGACAAAATGCTAGCATTTTCTTTTCCCCAGGCGGGCGTCCACCTCTAACAGCAAAGAAACCTCTAAGCTGGGTCTGCAGAAAGCCCGAGCCACCTCCACCCCACGTTCTCAGGACTCCTTAACAGAGGTTTTCCCAGCCCGGCTTCTCCCTCCTCCTTCTGCTCCAAGCTCCCGGTTTGACTTTTCTCCTTGCAGTGTTTAGTTCTGAGAATTCAGTACTTTGCGCATCACCCCCTGCCCCGAAAAACACTGGCCGACCCCAGTAATTTCGAGGAAAGTCATGAAGTCCATGCGCGGAGCCCTGTGCAAAATAACTCCCGCTGCTGCCTGCCCGGCGTTGATTCCCAATTTATTTCAAGAGAGTCGGCTTTGGGGAGAGAGTCTGCAGGGGGAGGGAAAGAAAAGAATACTGAAAATAAAGCCGGCGGCCGCGGGCTACTGCCTGCGTTTGTGTGCGTGTGTACTGGGTGTGTAGTGTTTGTGCCTGGGCGTGCGATTTAATGGAGCGCCTCTCTGCCTCTCCAGTGCGGCCAGAGCTCGCTTCGCGCACCCACCCCTGCCGAGGAGCCTACTTGCTGCAGCCCAATGCATTGTGTAAGACGCGACCTGTTATGGCCACCACTACTTCCGGGTTCTAGCATTCTGGTCGGAATCCACCTCTCCGCCTGTGCAACACACACTTTACACACGCACGGGGACTGCAAGCGGGCAGCATCGATCGTGGCTCCTTTAAGACAAACTCAGACAGACATTTTTTTTAACCCTCCTCCTCTAATCTCCCTCCAGTGCAGCACTTGCAAAGAGAGGGGGAGAGAGAGAGAGAGAGAAAGAAAGAGAGAGAAGAGAGAAACTGATTAGGAATTAGGACTGATTCAAGGGAAGCGAGCGCTAGGGCTTTGTGCATTTGAATATTAACATTTGAGGTGTTCTGACCAGAAGAAGACAGAGCGGATGATCATTCATTCACCACGTTGACAACCTCGCCTGTGATTGACAGCTGGAGTGGCAGAAAGCCATGAGATTTGGTAGTTGGGTCTGAGGGGCGCTCTTTTTTTTTTCTTTTTCTTTCTTTCTTTTTTTTTTTTTTTTTTTAACTGATTTTTGGGGGAGAGAAGATCTGCTTTTTTTTTTTTTTTCTTTTTCTTTTCTTTCTTTTTTTTTTTTTGCCCCCGCTGCTGTCTTGGAAACGGAGCGCTTTTATGCTCAGTGACTCGGGCGCTTTGCTTCAGGTCCCGTAGACCGAAGATCTGGGACCAGTAGCTCACGTTGCTGGAGACGTTAAGGGATTTTTCGTCGTGCTTTTTTTTTTTTTTTTTTTTTTTTCCGGGGGAGTTTGAATATTTGTTTCTTTTCACACTGGCCTTAAAGAGGATATATTAGAAGTTGAAGTAGGAAGGGAGCCAGAGAGGCCGATGGCGCAAAGGGTACGTATTAAAAAACAATTGTGGAACTCAAATGTGAGATTAAATTGAAACGTGGCCGAAAGACACTGCTAAAAAGTTTCCTTTTTTTCTCTCTCTCTTTTAAAAAATGAGGCTCCTAAAGCAGTGGCCTAAAGCGAGAGGATTTATTCAATGCATTTGTAGACTTATGTATGTTACTTGGAGTTGTTAATTAAAGGAATCAATTTATCTATAGATTCCTAACCAGCAGCTATATAAATAAAAATGCAAGCTCAAACAATCATCTTTTTTTTTTTAACTAGATACCTAATGCTGTAATTTGAACATTCAGAGATCAGAAGTTTAAAGTTATGTTTAAACTAAAATATGCAGCTGGAAACTTCTGATATGTTATTGATTACGCTCATCTTTAATATCATTAGAAGTATTTAGCTTTTTAAAGGAAATAACTGTCATAGTATAGCCAATTTTTTGGTCAGAAAACATTCATCTTTTTATAGTAATTTCAATTTGTATAGATTTGTATACAAGGCAATATTTTGCAAGTTTCTCTTAGATAAGCCCTGTACTAATTGAATACTAAGCACACAGTTACTCACTTTAAAAATGCAATACTAATTTCCCCATATTCCTTTTTCAATGGAAATGCAGTGAGAGTAAAGTGAGACAATGACAACCCAACTGAGGTAGTTTCTTAAAAGAAAGGGGGTCTACAAAAAGCCTTCCTTGCATAATTTGTGTCCTGGCCCTCAAAGCCCTGTTTGCAAAAGAAAGTTACTAGGCTGACACATTTTTCTTTACTCCCTTGGTTCAGGCAAATGTCAGCGTTCTTCCAAACTCTTTTCACACCTCTGGCTTTAAGGAGATGAAAGTGGCAATTCCTCCTTTCTTTGAAAATCATTTCACTCTCAGCGCCTCCAAATCTTGGGAAAATAACTTGCCTGGAATGAACCAATTAGAAAAGTCTAAATAGCTAAATTTCACACACAAAAAATAATGACAATCAATATGAAAGTAGTTTTTTGTTTTTTGGGTTTTTTTTGTTTTTTTTTTTTTCTGGAAGAGGAAGATGGGAGGTTCTCTGTGCATTTGCTTTTGAATTTGCTTTAAACCTGGTGAGTAACATTTGCCTCCTTGACTTCTAGTCTGGAAAGAAAGTTCATAAGAGTAAACAAGAAAATAGAATATTAGCTGCTTCAACTATAGATTTTTCTTTAACTTTGGGGGTGGGGAATTGCCCAATTCTAAATTCAGCTCTAATGTTCAGGAAAAGCTACCCTTCTTTGAGTTTCACTTATAAGGGGTCAGTTAGTTTTGTATAATTAGCAGAGTTTGTCTTGGAAAGCAAAAGAAATGCAGTGTCTTGCAGGACTGGCTAACCTCACGCCGGCAGGGAAATAAAATGAGAAGCCTGTCTAAATTCACGTGCTTGGCGTAGCTGTTCCCATCATAACTTTTTTTTTTTAAAATTCCCCCTGATGTGAAGGGGCTGTGAAACTAGGCGGGTTTGCTGCAGTGTCCTGGCACGTTTTATTATTGTGATTTTGAATTTCTTCCTCCAGAGACATGCCCGTTTCACCTTCCACCCTCCGGAGAATGCTCTTTCTCTCCTTCTTTCTTCTTTCCTTCTTGCCAAAGGAGCCTGAATTTCTGAACTAGTTGATAGGGACACAAGTTAGGGCAAGATCATTCATCCCAGATGAGTCTCGCTGAGAATTCCATAATTTTTACTTAAATCCTTAATTTTAAAATAAGAAAACTCAGCTTTAGAGATGAAAGGCCACCGAATTCCGGGTGGAAGGATCCAGCTGGACTGACCTTATATAAGCTCGGTGGTGCCTTGCCGTTCTCCCATTTGCCCGCCTGGCCTCCTGAACCTTCTTTTTCTCCTGTTTGTCATGCAGTACGACGATCTACCCCATTACGGGGGCATGGATGGAGTAGGCATCCCCTCCACGATGTATGGGGACCCGCATGCAGCCAGGTCCATGCAGCCGGTCCACCACCTGAACCACGGGCCTCCTCTGCACTCGCATCAGTACCCGCACACAGCTCACACCAACGCCATGGCCCCCAGCATGGGCTCCTCTGTCAATGACGCTTTAAAGAGAGATAAAGATGCCATTTATGGGTAGGTACAATGGGCAGCAGGTTAACTAGTTGAGACTCAATGCTTCCCTCTTTCCCTGTGCCCTTGGTAAGAGGAAAGTCAGAGTTCTCTGGATTGGAGCTACATCTTTGGTGACTTTTCATTCACATTGCATGGAGAATTTGGGGAGGTGACCTGCCATCCCCGAAGCCCTACATCTCCATACACACTCTGTGCACATTCAGTGCCCTGCTCCACCATGGCAGTGCCCGCAAGGGGGTCCCAGATCAGAAGAAGCTGGCTAAAGGGCCCTTGTCCCCTCTCACATTCCCTCAGAGGGCTGGAGTCCTTCCTCGCTCGATTTCGCCCGAGAGCGTTAGGGGTTTCTAAATGTAGGCGCCTTTGTGTTGGAACGAAACTTTTAGTTTAAGGGAAAATCTCTTTTAAGCCACTGATTGTTCTGACTTGCTAAGTTTACTCAGCAGCCTTATGCTGGCTCTGCCACTGCACAATAAAACCAAGGCAGGACAGTTGCAGGTCAAGCAAGGGGGAACATGTTTTGCATTTAGGGAGTTTGACCACTGAAGTCAAGGAGAGGAGCTTGCTCTGAATTGTTACACACATTAAGAAACTTCTAGATGTTTTAGCACTTTGTGCTCAAATGTGAAACCTGCAGGATTTAGAAATAAGTAAATTCGGGGCGCTCTTCCTCGGAGGTTGTTTTCTGGCCGCGGTTTACAATGCTTTCTCCTCCGCCATTCGATTAGACCCTGGACTAGTAGAATCCTTTGAAACTCACTTGTGCCTACTGTGTGCCGATGAATTTGGGAACCTCGTTTTACTTTGCAGAAACTTTTATTTCTATTTATTTATTTTTAAAAAATCAGAACCCACTGACCCTCCGTGGCAAAAGAATATATATATACTCTTTTTGCTTTATTTTCTGATCCCTTGTGCGATGGGCTTGTTTAAATCCCACCGTTCTGTCCGCAGCGTTAACTACAAGTGGTTTAGGCTCTGGGACCGAACATTTGGGGAAGCTTTGTAAAGGACCCCAAACTGTTAAATTCCCAGCTAAGCAGTGAGAGCTAATAAAAGACTTGAGATACCTCCTTGAGCATTAGAAGAAGCTTTTCTTTCTTCCTTTCTTCTTCTTCTTCTTCTTCTTCTTTTTCTTTCTTTTTTATGGGCTGAGACAAGCGACATCTAGGCCCCTCGCAATACTAGCTGCTTTGCCACTTCGCAGAGACAAAATGAAAGGCTGTACCGCAGGAACATTTGAAGGAACTTTCTTTGGGGGGCGGTGGGGGCCGTCTGCGAAGGGAGGGGAGTGTGCGAGGAGCTGAGGAGGAGCCTCCCGGCTCTCCGAGGGTCTTGGGGTTGGGATCCCTAGGTGCAGCCCGTTGACAGTCGGCCCCACGGCCATGGACGTCCTTTCCCCAAGTTAGCTGAGCGCCTGCACCGAGATCCCCCGAGCCTGGGCTTCGCGCGGCCGCCTAGGAGGAACCCGCAGGAACCAGCCCTCCCCACCCCTCCGCCCGGCGCCTTTCTCCTCCACCAGATCCTGGATGTGCAGTGGAGGGGACGAGGGCTTGTCGGGTGGGAAACTTAATTCAAAATGGCTGCTGGAAACGCTTGGGTTTTATTCGTAGCAAATGTTGCCAATTTCTCCGGCCAGATACGCTAAACCGATCCTCAGATACCGTCCATGGCTCAGGGCCTCCGACTTCAGGGCTCCAGGAGGAAGGGGAGGTGAGCGGTCACCTGGGTCGCGGGGCGGGGGGGGGGAGGAAAAGGAAAAAAGTAGATGACACAATCCGAGAGGGGGTCTGTTCCTCTTGCTCCTCCGGCTGTTTTTCTTGGGCACCTTTTTCCATTGACTGGGGACTAACCATTATGTTGTTTGTGACTGTTGTATTTTCTTGCAGACACCCCCTCTTCCCTCTCTTAGCACTGATTTTTGAGAAATGTGAATTAGCTACTTGTACCCCCCGCGAGCCAGGGGTGGCGGGCGGGGACGTCTGCTCGTCAGAGTCTTTCAATGAAGATATAGCCGTGTTCGCCAAACAGGTCAGCAAAATAAATGTTAAAAAGTAAAAGAAACAAAAGGAGAGCCCCCCCTTCCCCAACACACAAACGCGCGCGCGCGCGCGCACACACACACACACACACACACACACACACACACACACACGGCACACTTTCAAAAGTAGCCAGCACATAGTCGGCCCTAAGCCATGAGTGTTACCTCCAACCTCAGATTTTCTTTCTGTCTGAGTGTCTGTTTGCAGATAACTTAAAATCACCCATCTGCATCCCCACTCACCCTCCAGAAAGCAAACGTGGAGAGCTCACTGCAGAATAAAATCTAGAACACCACGGTTGTAGCTGCTGTGGACTTGGCGGGCTGAGCAGCCTCCCTGAGAACCGTAGTTGCTAGTAGAAGTAAGACTGAGCTCTGGGCTTGTTTTCAGCTTAATTCACACTGAAATGTTTCTGCGCGGGACGAACTCGGTGTCACCGGGTCCCTCCCAGAGGGTTACATCCTGCCCCCAACAGGGTAATGAGGCAAGAAACTAGGAAGGCGACCAGATTTCAAATTTTTCTTTCTTTTTTCTCTCCCCTCCCTCTCCCCTCTCCTTCTCACTTGTATTTAGATTCGCGCAGAAAAACCTCTATTTTCTTCTAATCCAGAACTGGATAACTTGGTAAGAGCGGACCCCTATCACCCCGCCCCCATCCCCCACCTCCCACCTCCAGTGCCCTCAGCTTTGCTTTGAGAGCCCTGAGATTTCTAGACCGGTCTTCCCGTGCCTGAAGGTTGGCTGCAAATGTTTCTGTCCACGGACAACTGGTCCGGGACAAGATCCCGGGGAAATAAATTCATCTCGAGAGGGGCCGGGCGAGCAGGCGCTGGGAAACGGAGCTTTTGTTTTTTATGACAGCCGGGCTGCGCAGCTCTAATCAGCGCGGGGATTTATCTCCCGGCCTGTCAGCGTGTGTGCTTAAACTTTGCGGACTTCCCAGCCCTCTAAGTCCCATCACGAGGGCAGCCACCGGACCAGAGCCCCTAAACAACCAGTTTGCCTGAAAGGTGTAAGGAAGGCAGCAGAAACTTTGCAATGGGAAAAGCCACAGTTTGAGGGCCATTTGAAATATTTTTCTGTCCAGTCCTTCCAAGGACACATTTAGTCCAGTGTTTAGCCCTTTTGGGGTGGGGTGGGACCAGTGGCACTGAGAGTGGCACTGAGAAAGGGGAGAGCCATGGGGGAGGAGAGTGTTTATGAGCCCCACTTAGATGCTCTGTTGTTGTTTTAGCTATTTTTTTCTCCTTAAGAAATATAAACCTCTAGATGGTACCCAGTTGCTGCTATTAAGTTTTAGTGTTATTGCCATAAATCAAAATAACTCTATTTACTGGTGGGAGGGGGTGGGCTGGAGATGGTAGAGCTGTGACAGCCAGTTTTCTGCAAGCAGGAATGGGGTGCTTATTGTTTTTGTATCTTTGCAGATGATTCAAGCCATACAAGTATTAAGGTTTCATCTGTTGGAATTAGAGAAGGTAATTTCTCTAGCCTCTTTTTCTTTTACTTACCCCTTACCCCGAAGCACACAGAGGGGGAGGGTTCAGAATGGCTGAAGTTCAGCCTTCTGATATATTTGCATAAATGTCTTTCTTTCTGGTAATTAGTGTCAAGGCCAATCTTAGCGTCCATTTCTCTTCGCAGTTTAATTACAATTTCAGCCACTAAAACCGGGATCACAAACGCCCTAGCCTTGTGTTCATTCTTAATAACTTGCTGGCTTTGTGTAAATAGTTGCAATTCTATGCATCCCAGCTGATGTTTAGAATGCTGCTCTGAGGTGGTTTCACAGGTTAATACCTCTGTTGTCTCTTCTCATCCTCTTCCTCCTCTTCTTTGCTACCTCTGAGGGAGAAAAAAGTTTTGTTCAGTTGTTGTGAGTTTCTGGAAGACAGTCTTGAGGGCAGCGGCAGATCAGACACAGGGGAGAGGCAGAAGGGGAGAAGGAGGAGGAGCGGGAAGGAGTCTGGAGGAGGTGGTGGGGAGGCACATTAAACGTTTTGCAGAGACAAAGCAGAGTTGATAGTTGTGTCAATTTCTTGAATCTGTGAATCCTGCACACACCCCACTTTCACACTCAGGAAAGGGTGTGGGATAACATGATTTTGCTAGCTGTTCTATAAATCTCAGCAATAAAAACTTAATGCATTGTAATTCAAACTAACATTAAATTGCAAGCACACTGGGGTTTCTTGTGAATTTTTGCATGTCACTGATGCCTGGGGCCTGTAGGAAACCTCCGCACTTACACCTAAATATTTTGAGGCATTCCTTCTCCTTTTTGTAAAAAAAAAAGAAAAATCAATTTGATATGTTTTTGTGGCTGTATGTTTTCTTATATCAGGAGTACTGGCAACTTGATTTCCTTCCATTTTTTTTTTTTAAAAGAAAGTGTTCTAAAATATGACCCTTAGAGATAAAAACCTTTATTACAAATATAATAAGGACTTGGGTTGTCAGGCATGTATTCTATGCCACCACAGTACAGGTTCTTTGGAGAATATATATGTGCATATATACACAGATATACATTTTTTCCTTAGACACATTGGAAAGGAATTTATGATAAAGTCACTGGATGAAATTAAATAGTTTACCTTAAATGTCACCTACGCAGGTCACCTCTCTAATGACCACAGCCCCAGGAGCAGATGAATTTAACACGGGTGTTGAATATGTTGTAGCCTGTGAATCATCTTGTCACTGTCAATTTTCTGGGATATCTCTATTTTGCAAGAAAAGAAAGTTATTCCTAATTCTGGATGCATCTGGGGGTCTCTGGAGGACAATTGCCCTGTGTTTCCCCTATTTGGAAGTTTGGATCTCACAAGGGGGGTGGATTGCACTTGTCAATGTCATTTATGCACTCCTGATTATATTCCCATTTTTTTATTTCTGTCATAATGTAGGTACACGAATTATGTGACAATTTCTGCCACCGGTATATTAGCTGTTTGAAAGGGAAAATGCCTATCGATTTGGTGATAGACGATAGAGAAGGAGGATCAAAATCAGACAGTGAAGATATAACAAGATCAGCAAATCTAACCGACCAGGTACGCGCTTTTCAATTTCAACATCCCTGGGAAAAAAAAAAATCTGTATGCATATTGCTTGCTGGGTCACTACCACCTCCTTTTATTATTTGCATATGATTAAGTCCCTTTTAGATACATTTCCATCGAAATGAAAATTTTTGAATAATGTGGCTATTATTGCTTCATTAAGGCTGGCTCTGGGATTCGACCTGGAGAGATGAGCTTGTAAAAGCTTTGCTAGCAAACTTGACCTGTTTCTTGTCGCTTTTAATTTTTGTCTTTATTTTATTTACCCTCTATAATAATGGGAGTGTTAACTGCCAGTGACCGCCTCTGATTGTAGGGGCTTTGTTCTGGAGCATTTTCCCCCTTCTATCTTCAAGAAAAGAAAAGTGTAGGGTCTGCTTATTTCTTATTTTATTAGGAATAAATCCAAGATAGGTGGTCTAAGAGAGACAGCGAGGGTTTGAAATCTAGCAAATGCTGGCTATTTTCTCCCTGTCTGTACGGTTCATTAGCCTGTCTTGTCAGTTTTCCTCGGCCGAACGCTTCTAGACCTCACTGAACATTGCTTTGTGTGGTGTTCACTGCAAGCTCGCCCATTTTATTGTACTTAATAGAAAAAATAAGACCAGGCCGAGGTTATAAAAACAGATAAATATGGACTTTTCCCCTCCTTCTTTCCACTCATCCTCCAGCTGGTATGTGCTCTGGGCCCTCTGGGTTGGCAGCTTGTGGACATGTCAGCATCAGGGGAACCCCGGCGGCCCCCTGGGTAAGGAGGGTGGGGGAGCTCGCACCGCCTTTGCTCTCAACTGAGGGTTGGCTTGCTGCGCTCCCTCCTCTCCTGTCCTCCCTCCAGGCCCTTCTTCCGATGCGTTACTAAGTAGGGACGACTTTTATTTGGAGTTGCTGAGGGGATTTCTCTCTGTGTCACCCCAACACCACTGTTTGCTCCCAGGGTGCCTTTCTCTCTCCTGTGGCTGTATCTCTGGATTGGTCCAAAGGAGTTGCAAAAATGCAATGAAAGTGAAAACGTGTGGAGTGAGTGAGATGAAACAGGGCTCAGAACGGTTCTGTTGCGAATTGTTGCAAGGCGTCTGGAGATTTGGGTAGCTGGCCTGCTCTGCACCCTCCCAACCTTCCCCCCTGTATAAGTGAAGGCCCAGAGTTGTTTCTCTTTCTGACTCGGCGCACGTGAGTCCTGACTTGGGGGAAGAGATCAGCCTGCCTTTGTTAAGCCAAAGGCCAGCTACTCTGCAAGCTCTGCCATGATCTCTGTTGGCCAGTGGCTGTCTTGTACAGTCCTTGTCGGAGTGCCTGACACCTGGTTCTTAGTGTCATCTTATGGTTTTCTTCTCTCAACATTATCCTCTTAAAATACATTCTCAGCTTGATTTTCTCTGGGCAACCCCCGCGACACAGGCTGAATTCCTCTTTTGCCCATGGGGAGCGGGAAACAGGCAGAGCAGAGATTTAAAAGTGCCAATGTGCCGGGTCCGCACTGTGATCTGGAGAGTTGGAAACTTTCGGCAGTGTAGACGAGTGCACAGAACACGCAGCGTGCGCAATCCCCGTGCGGCCCCACAGAGGTGGGAAAACTGCAGGCGGCTCCCAGCCTTGGCCCCCGCGGGCTGCCCGGGCCTCAAGTCTGGTTCAACCCGCCAGCCTTCGCCCGGGAGCTGTTGAGTGCAGATTCTGCTGAGGAACCCTCGAGTAGCTGCTGTGGAATAAAAATTGCAATCCAACAAGCCTAACTAGAAAATGGGATTCTAAAAGCTCCGGAGTGCTGGGTACATAAAGCTATTTGAGCAAATTACAAGAATCGCTTAGGGGCATGAATGAAATCAACACTTTAATTGCCTCCAAAATGAAGATTTATACCCCATTTTCTCAAGGAATCATTATTTTATTAAAGTCAAAGATAAAAGAACAAAGTTATGGGGATTTTTTGGAGGGGGAGAGAATACAAAAATTAATATATTATCATGGATCTCCCCCCTTCTCCTTACCTAAACTTTTGTTACCCAATTCCCTTAACTTAAGATATGCAAAGATTGGTATGCAATTGTATTGGATAAAAATTCGCATTTTATTCTCTTCTACCTCTAAAATGAGAATCTGATTTCTGGTCCCCGCTGGTTAAGAGTGGGCTTCGACGCTTTGGCTGAGCTCGTGGCGCTGTTGGCCTTTGCGCGTGGGCTTGCTTGTGTGGCCCCCTGGGGCTCACCCAGGTTTCAGCTGGTCGGAGGACAGCAAACTCAAGGTCAGGTTTGGAGAGGGGAGCGCAAAGCGCTGGGCGCATGTGGTACAGTGCCACGGACGCCGGTGGGCTCCACTGCCCTGGGGAGCTGAGGCGCGACGAGTGAAGCACCAGGACGCCTGGTGGGCGCCAGTTCTCCGGACTGGAGCCTGCTGGCCTGTCCCTCCGGGCCGCTGAACCCCTAGTGCGGCGTCCTGGGGGCCAGGCAGGAAGGATGGCCTCTCCACCTGTCTGCGAATGCAGCCCAGCCAGTTTGAGCCTCCGCAGAGGGTGCGCTCCGGGACTGGACGCTTCTCGTGCTGTGAGAACGCTGGGCCTTGTTAGCTCATTAACCCCTCTGTCTCTAGGGCCCGTTGGCGGCACGATTTATTTTATTTTACTTTTTTTCCTCGGAGGGCGCGAAGACTGCCACCAGCGCAGGGACCTGGGATCAACGACTTTGATACTAGGCGGTATCTCGGAGGGCTAAGTCGGCGGAAATCCACTTGGCCTTGTAGCGCTAGTTCAGTCCTTTTCCTTCCTTCCTTCCTTCCTTCCTTCCTTCCTTCCTTCCTTCCTTCCTTCCTTCCTTCCTTCCTTCCTTCCTCCCTCCCTCCCTCCCTCCCTTCCTCCCTTCCTCCCTTCCTCCCTTCCTCCCTTCCTCCCTTCCTCCCTTCCTCTTTCTTTCTTGCTCTCTCGCTCTCTCGCTCTCTCGCTCTTTTTTCTTTCTTTTCTTTCTTCTCTCTTTCCTATTTATTTTTAAAATAGGATTAAGACACCAGTAGAAACTGTAATCCCGTTCTTCCCCACACTCAGGTTCCTTACCCCACCCCCAATCTTGGGGCTGCCTGGAGGTCCCTGCCAGAGAGAGAGCTACCTTGGCGGGCGCGAGCCTCCTGGGCGCCCTCTCCTGACCGCCGCGGTCTAGGCTCGGCTTGGATGTTCCGGGCTCCCCGAGGCTGGGGGAAGCGAGGGGCGCCAGGGGCTTCCCGGCCTCAGCGTGGGGCGAGGTCCCGGCTGCGACCCCGGAGCAGAGGGAGAGGGGGGCCATGGTGCTAAGCATCGAGGCGAGGGTTGAACCTGCTTGATTTCAGAGAACGATGCGGGTTCGACCGGAGGCGGGGCGCGTGTTCTAGGGGCCCTTGGGTGGATTTGGGGGCGCCAAGAGGGGTTAGGCGGGGAGAGGCCTGGCCACCCAGTTGCTAGACTTTAGGCCGCGCTCCAGGAAGGAGCAGTCGACTTCCTAGGCCGCTTCTGTTGCGCGCCACTTCTTGAATCTAAGCATTTTCCACTCCAAGAACGCGTTGGGAGAGAGGGGAGAGCGGAGCAGAGTCTCTGGGCCCCCAGGGCCGCCTCCCGGGGTGGCCACGCCTGCCGGTAGCGAGCCGAGATTAGCTAGGTCTGTGCTTCGGCCTCAGCGGTGGCCCTGGCTCTTCCCACAAGCAGCAGGAGGCAGAGAAATGGTCCCTTTGGATTACAGTTTTTATTCAACAGCAGCTCTCCGGGGGGTCCTCGTCTGAATCTGCATTTAGCAGCTCCTGGGCGAAGGCTGTCGGGCTGCCCAGGGCGCCCTGTTGCATGTTAATCCAGATATGTCTCTGACGTCTGGGGAGAAGTAATATGGCTTGCAGATATGGAACCAGAGAACCACGCTCGCCAGGCAGGTTAAATGCCAAGTGCTGCCGAGCTCCCGGGGGACGGCCGCCAGGGCTGTGCAGCCCAGACTGGAGAGCGCAGGGCCGCCAGGCCTCTGGGATCTGGGGCGGCCGGGTCCAGTGCGCTTTGGTTCCCAAGTGGGCTTGGGAACTCTGATGGCGATTGTTTTATTTCAAAAGTTCACAATGTTGTTTCTGAAGCAGAGTTTGGCTTAAAATCCTTTGAAATGAGGTGGAATTTGACAGAAAACGCCCCCCTCCGAAGAAGCGGGGGAGATTTTTGCAAGGGAGATTTAAGCTTTCCCTTTAGGGGAGGTGTCACAGTCAGGGATGGGGCTGGGAGGGCAAGAAGCAACCTAATGTCCTGCATGGATTGGATCTGCTGCTTTAGAGGCAAATAGATAGGGCCAGCGAATATTTACTAATACTAGAAATGTCTGCAATTCCTTGTCATCCAATAAGAAAAGTGTACACAAACAGTGGGAGGCAGAAAAATGGTCCCTTTGTCAGGTAGTTTGTTTTTAAATGCTTCCATTTGGATACATCTTATTTAAATTGTAAATGCTTCGTAGCTTCCCACTTAATGCCTTAATCCTGAAACCTCTCAGTCCACAGGACTTGCAAGTGATAAAGTCTTAGCATCACCTAACTTTACATTTGATTGTGTTGTGGGTCATGTGACATAGTCTTAATTCCTTTTAAAATATATGTCAAAGGGAAATTATGGCAAGATTCTCTTTAATGATTAAATAATAAGGTGTTGACTGCTTGTCACTACACTGGCTAATTGGGATGTTCATTCTAGGCCCTTTATTACGTAGCACCCTTTGAATTAAAAGTTAGTTGTTTACCGGGTATATTTTTATTGTTACTTTCTGGTTGGCTTTTAGTGTGTATTTATGTGTGAGTTTCAGAGTAGGGATGTATTGATTCTTAATAGGGACACTTTTAAAACATTCTAGAAAAAACAAGGGGAAAAATACGGCATGTATGCAGATAGGTTGAGATCAATTACATTGGTAAATGTCTCTACGTCTAAACGCTAATACTACAAAAATATCCTTTGCATAGCTTCTCTCCCTCTCTGTCTCTCTCTCTTTCAATCTCTCTCTCAGTGGAAG